CATGATTAGGGATGATGAAATTCTGGTGTAGAAGTTTAAGCAACAGGAGGTGTTGAATCTGCAGGGCTTTTCGCATAAAGTTAAAAAGGAAGAAAAATAACGTGTTCTATTTTGTAAAATTATGAGTGTATTTTTTAATTACCACCACCATACCTTGGGTTATACCAAAAAACTATTTCTGTGTAGTCAAGACCCTAGGACTCCTGGTTACAGATACCTCTGCACATGAACCACATGTTGGGACGCTCACCTTATCTGTTTAATAAAACATGCATAGATGACACCTAAGAAAAGGAATGCTTTTTTAAAATCGTTTCTATCACATTACACGAAATAAGGGCTTCACAAAATTGTAGAAGAGGTTCGGTACCATTTCTGATTGCTGAAACAGTACTGAACATGTGTCCTCAACTCAACTTTCAGCTAAACAATATTCTCCGGACATCTGTTATTTCTAGCGTAAAAGCCAAGACAAACCTGCTTTCACTTCCAACCTACAACCACTACCAAAACCCACACTCAATTCTTCGGAGACACAACCTTCCTTAAGATAAATATTTTACCAACAGACTTTACTTAAAGAATCTTAGGTTGGTGTGAATGCTGTGCTTGAGTTAACATTGGAGATGTTAACATTGTGGACAGTTTATTTGTGAACCAAATTTATTCAACTATGTCAAAGACACCACATATAATTGGAGACCTAAGTCCAGGGCTAGTTTAAGTTTAGAGTGTCATCATCAGAATTTAGCTCATAGTACATAAAATAAGTTTTTACAAAAGCTAAGACCAAGAGAAACATTTCCGTTATCTCTCTTTTTTAAGTCCAACAGAAAGCATTTTAAACAAAAATATTCCCTTGTAGTATCTGCAACCCAAACACTAAGTCTCAGCATGTAAGAGCCTGAAATTGAAGTCATAGTCTATGTTCACTGTCCAGAGAGAAATATAAATTAAAAACCCAAATGAATAGTTAAGCAAATTAGATGTTTTAAAATGTTCATTTTTATTAACCTAAATTTCCATTTGCAACACACAAATAGATTTCTAATCTTTACAATATCTCTTTAAATGTGGCAAAATAAAGAAGCACACACACATTTTGATCACCCTTACAACTTCTGAGTTCAAACAACAGAAATAATCATCCAGGAAGGAAAAGGTTGTTTTCCCAAAAGAAATTCTTAAACATTTTTCCCCTCACATATTTAGAGGTCTAAAGTAGCATTTTACAATTATAAGTTAGAATGGCAAAATGCAGAAGATAAGCAGAATTACTATCTTCCTGGAGTACTTTTAACAGGGCCAGCCTTAGGGAAAATGGAGCCCCGGGCAAACTTGTATTTTGGTGCCCTTTCTTTGAGTTTGAGAACAGCAGCGTGGGGCTCCAAACAAAAGGGCCAGCTCCTGGCCGCAGAGCCCGGCCGGGCTGAACAGGAAGGAGTCCGGGGCTCCCCTGGCTATGCACCCCCTGAACACCTAGCAGGAGAGCGGGTGCATGAACACCATCCATACCCACAGGAAGGGGGGACCCAGGGGCTAGCCCACTGGCTCTGCAGGGGTGAGCCCTGCTGCCTGTGCCTCCCCACCAGGCTGGCAGCTCAGGGCAGCATTGCCCACCGCCTGCCCAGGGGCTCCAGCCCCGGGTTCACCCACACTCACCCTGCTCCAGCAGCCTAGGCCCACCAGCTTGCAGCACTCAGACAGCACTCACCTGACTACAGCACCCTGAGTGGCTCCCCACATCACGAGGCTTTGTAAGGCTGGCCCTGACTATTAAAGAGGGGCAGAGTCAGGGAAATATGTTTTAATAGCAGAAGAAGCTATTTCTTTCCACTCTGCCTCTTTACTGCTTCAAATTACAGCTGCAAAAATACACACCAACCATACACTCAAATGCAAACATACATATTTCAGGGGAAACCCAAAACAACATAAGCCAAAAAAAATTTCTCATCTCAAAAATAGTGCTGAGAAAGACTCACATCCGTTACAGACTCACCTCCACAATCTTAGCACGTCTATCATTTGGAGAAAGCCTTCCTCACTCTAGATTAAAGGCAGTTTTTAAAGTTTTGCTATCTTTTACGGAAAACGGTTTTGCAAATTTCTTTCATTTTGAAATCCATTTAATCTCTTTCAATTTGACAGCTGTGAATCTAGTAGATCCTCAACCCAATTTAGAGCATCAGACCACATGACAGAGAGAGAAATGATGCAACAGAATAGGATTTTATTTATTTTAATGGGAAAGCATGCAGCAGAGGCAATTATATAGTCTACTTGTTCCACCCACTCACTCCTGGCTGGCAATAGAACCCCAAATCAAGCTTGCTGCAGCTTCCACAATTTAAATGAGAAGCTCTTATTCAGTACAATATGCCCACAGTACTGGTACTTTGGGGTTTTGTGGCCACCTAAGGCAGCCCCCTACTGCGCCATCACCCATTCAACTGCACATGTTCCAGCTATGCACCTTGGTCACTTACAATAGCAAACATGGGGGTTAGAAGACCCCACAGCTAGTTCCAGTTTGTGTGATTGAATATAGCAGGTACCAGGGACGGTACAGCCGAGAACTTGATCTATTTAAAGAGGTAAATTTACCCCATAAACAGGATTTTCCCTTCCTCTGAACAAAATAAACCACTTCTCACAAACTGCCCTCTCAAAAACCAAATCCCCCGCAACCCATCCCTTCTAAGAACGCTCCTCTTCTCCCCGCCTTACTAAGTACCCCAACACTACCCCCATTTCCGAAATCTCCAAACCTTCATTATTAGTCACCAACATCAAAACTTCTTCAGTAACCCTCTACAGTCCTTCCCTAACCCAACAGACCCCACACAACACTTCCATAACCCCATATAAACCCAGTAACATCCCCTACAAACTCTCCCACCACCTCACAGCACCAAAACCTTCCCAACAAACTGTAACTAGAGCAGCTGGGGGAAAATATTTCAGCTGACCCAAAACGATTAGTGAATTCGTGTCAAATTCAACAGATATTTTCTTTTTTTTTTTGGTTTGGTCAAAACTGTTTTGACATTACCAAAACGTCATTTTTTTCAGGTTGGAGTCACAAAACAGTTGAAGGAAGGGGTGGGGGGTGCCTCTTTTATAAAGTTTAGTCCAATGGTTAGTGTACTCACCTGGGACTGTAGCAGAGTGCCCTACCTACTGTGCTGGATATTCGGGGGCGGGGGGGCCTCAATCTAGATAATAAATCATTGGAGTAGTGATTGAATTTGGGTCTCCCACATCCTGGGTGAATGCCCTAACCCCCCTGGAGCCAGAGCGTCATTCCACTTCCCTGGCCCACTGTCATTATGAATGACAATGAACAATTGGACCAGGGAAAGAGAATGAGAATGCCTCTATAGCCCGGGAGTCTAGGGCACTCACACAGGATATGGGAGATCCTAGTTCAATCCCTAATTTAAGGACTGTTTATTTAAACAGAGTGAAACAGCTTTAACAGGAGAGAGACCCACACCAGAACATCCAGCCCAGTGGTTAGGGCACTCTCTACAATGTAGCCAACCCAAATTCAAATCACTTCTCCATATCAGAGGGAGGGCGGAATAGAACTTGGGTCTCCCACATCCCAAGTAATTTATAAGGAGAGCACCACCAGCCACCACCACCTCCTCAATCTCCCCCTCCCCTGTTTTGTGAATAGTCATCCTTTTAACAAAATGCCTAAAATCAAAACAAAAAAATATGAGTTGGCTTGAAAAAAATGTTTAATTCGACCCAACTAGAAATGTTTCCTGTTTTTTTATATGCCAAAAAAATTCTAAACAATTTGTTTTCAGTTCAACCCCAAACAAGATTTACGATTTTTTCAGAATTGCCAGAGAACTGAAAAATCCATCACTAGGCAAGTTCTGCCAATAACATTCCCTTACAAGTTTCTGAACACCGCCCTCGCACCCAAACCTGCCCAATAACCCCCTCCAGCCCCCATAACATCCCCTACAAACCTACTACCACCCCAGAACCAACATGCCCACAGCCTCCTACAGGCAACTAATACTCCCTCCCCAGCTCTCCTGTAACCTCTTACAGAACCCTCAAAATACCACCAACAACCCCCATAACTCCCTTCAGACCCCAAAATATCCCCTACATGACCACTCCATAACCCTAAAATAACCAATACCCAACCCCCACATAACCACCTACAGGCCCCCCAACATACCCTCAAAACACCATCCCACCACCAACCCCCCCCCCAGCCCCTTACACCCCCCACAATAGCATTCCCTACAAAAACCTCTCCCCATAGCCCCTCCTGGCAACCAATACACCCTCCCAGCCCCCCAACAGCCTCACAACACAGCACCACCACCCATGCCCCACAGCCCTCGCACCACCAACCCCCCCTCAGCCCCTTACACCCCCCATAGCATTCCCTACAAAAACCTCTCCCCATAGCCCCCCCCCCGGCAACCAATACACCCTCCCAGCCCCCCAACAGCCTCACAAAACAGCACCACCACCCATGCCCCACAGCCACCGCACCACCAAACCCCCCCAGCCCCTTACACCCCCCAGCACCTTACACCCCCACCCCCATAGCATTCCCTACAAAAGCCTCTCCCCATAGCCCCCCGCTGGCAACCAATACAGCCCCACAACACAGCCCCACAGCCCCGCACCACCAACCCCCCCCCCCCAGCTCCTTACACACACCCCCATAGCATTCCCTACAAAAACCTCTCCCCATAGCCCCCCCCCGGCCACCAATACACCCTCCCAGCCCCCCAACAGCCTCACAAAACAGCACCACCACCCATGCCCCACAGCCACCGCACCACCAAACCCCCCCCAGCTCCTTACACCCCCCCCCCCATAGCATTCCCTACAAAAACCTCTCCCCATAGCCCCCCGCTGGCAACCAATACAGCCCCCCAACCCCTCAGCCCCTCCAGCTCATCCCGCCCCTGCAGGCCCCGCCGCTGCGCCCCCGGGGCCCCCTTCCCAGCCCCTACCTGCGCCGGGCTCCGCGCCGACCCCGTGGCGTTTCCTCCACATGGGGGGCTGGGGGGGAAGGGGAGCGAAGCGCCAGGCAGCCCCCGCCCGCCGTTGCGCTAGGCTCCGCGGCCTAGGCGCCGACTCCACGGGTGCTCCAGCCCTGGAGCACCCAAGGGGAAAAATTGGTGGGTGCAGAGCACCCACCGGCAGCTCCCCGCCCCACCCCCGGCCCCAGCTCACCTCCGCTCCGCCTCCGCCTCCTCCCCCTCCCCTGAACGCGCAGCCGAGCTCCGCTTCTCCGCCCTTCTGAGGGGTGGGGGGTGCAGAGAAGCAGAGCTGGGCGGTGCATTCAGGGGAGGGGGCAGAGCGGGGGTGAGCTGGGGCCGGGCGTGGGGCGGGGAGCTCCCGGTAGGGGCTCTGCACCCACCAATTTTCCCCGTGGGTGCTCCAGCCCCGGAGCACCCACGGAGTCGGCGCCTAAGGTGCCACTTTTGATGTATCAGTGGGGGGAGCAGCTGCTCCCCCCGCTCCCCCCCAGCTACGTTCCCCCACCCCTAGGAGCCAGAGGGACCTGCTAGATGCTTCCTGGGAGCTGCCCTAGGTAAGCACCGCTGGGACTCCCACCTTGCCCCGCCCCGCAGGTGCCTCTGGCTCTTACGGGTGGGGTGGGCACCCACTACAGTGGCCCGCGAGACCCTCCTGCCCAGTTCTGCCTTAGGCGCCGACTCTACGGGTGCTCCAGGGCTGGAGCACCCAAGGGGAAAATTTGGTGGGTGCAGAGCACCCACCGGCAGCTCCCCGCCCCACCCCCGGCCCCAGCTCACCTCCCCTCCGCCTCCTCCCCTGAACGCGGGGCCGAGCTCCGCTTCTCCGTCCTTCTGGGGGGTTGGGGGGTGCAGAGAAGCAGAGCTGGGCGGTGCTTTCAGGGGAGGAGGCAGAGCGGAGGTGAGCTGGGGCCGGGCGTGGGGCGGGGAGCTCCCGGTAGGGGCTCTGCACCCACCAATTTTCCCCGTGGGTGTTCCAGCCCCGGAGCACCCAGAGAGTCGGTGCCTAAGGCGCCACTTTTGATGTGATCAGTGGGGGGAGCGGCTGCTCTCCCTGCTCCCCCCCCCCCGCTACGTTCCCCCACCCCTAGGAGCCAGAGGGACCTGCCAGATATTTCCTGGGAGCTGCCCTAGGTAAGCACTGCCGGGACTTGTTAGGATATAGATATTCAGGTCTGTCTGTAAAGGCCTATATTCTAAGAATTTAGGTGTATTCTTATCACTTGGCTAGTTACAGAGGTACAAAAGAAAGAATCAAAATCACTGTCTGCTGGTGTAAGGGCCTTCTCTTACTGTGACAGTCTGAGGCCCTGTGCTTAGGCTAAGGCCTTTGGCTAAGCAGCAGAGGCAGCCATAAGCTGGGAAGCGAACGGGTCACATCCTCACATTCCAACTTAGTCACATTGAAATAAGGTGCTATTGGGCTGTTAGAAATACAATCTTGTCCTGATAATGCCTGTCACCTCCAGAGAAAGGGAAGTGCCTAGAAAATATAAAAGGAAACTTAGTTTGATAGCATCCTGTCTGGCAAGAACTCACTTATCAATAGCTGGGATGTGAAATCCTCACTTCTGTATTGTTTTGTCATTATAGTTCCCACTTTGCTCTTGTTTGTCTGTATAATCTCTGTCTGGTTCTGTGATTGTTCCTGTCTGCTGTATAATTAATTTTGCTGGGTGTAAACTAATTAAGGTGGTGGGATATAATTGGTTACATAATCATGTTACAATGTTAGGATTGGTTAGTTAAATTTCAGGAAAATGATTGGTTAAGGTATACCAAAGCGGAACTCAAGTTTTACTATATAGTCTGCAGTCAATAAGGAAGGGGGGGGGGTGAGATGGGAATGTGGGTAAGGAAACTGGAATCATGTTTTGTTAAAAGGGGAAATGGGAACAGGGAATGGGGGGTAAGGAAACTGGAATCATGTTTGGCTAAGGGCTGGAATGGGAACAAGGACACAGGTGTAATTTACGGAGGATACTAAGGAAGGAAACTGGAATCATGCTTGCTGGAAGTTCACCCCAATAAACATTGAATTGTTTGCACCTTTGGACTTTGGGTATTGTTGCTTTCTGTTCATGCGAGAAGGACCAGGGAAGTAAGTAGGTGAAGGAATAAGCCCCCTAAGATCTTGGTGCCGGTGACTTGGGTGCATCGCATTGGGTAGGTGAGTGGCAGCCTGTAAGTCCCCCTTCCCAACAGTCCACGCAGCTGCTTGGAGGGGGTATCGCGAACTCTCGTGATGGTAGTTGCGGGTTCTGGAAAGCCAGGGTAAAGGATTTTTTGGATAAATGGATAAGGAAGAACCAGGGCCCATACCATGTGCAGGGGTCAACCTGGGATGAGATTAAAAAGGAAATGGAGGAAGTGTTAGGGGACCCAGAGGTAAGGGGGGTGGCTGAGGAGCCCACCCTCCTTGGTATATGGGTAGTGGAAGAAGGTCCCTGCCCATGGGGACTGAATGCCTTCCAGGGAAAGGAGGCACTTCAGTCCGCTTGCGAGAGGTTTGAAGTAAGGGCAGCATTATGGGAAGCTGCCAGTAATCTTTCAAGTTTGGTGCTGCTTCAGCAAGGGCTGCTGAAGGGTTGTAAATTAGTTAGGGGTAGTGAAAGATGATTTGGCACAATAGAGTTTAAAGTCAAAAGCAGAGTTAACAGATGACCTTTAGAGACTGGAGCTGGGACTTGGTCCTGGGGGAGTGGAGAGGAAAAAAAAAAAAGTTTCAAAGTGCAACCTGCCTTTCCACACTTTTGTTTTTCTGAAGTTTTAATGGAGGGTACTTTGGATACTTATGTGAGATGTCAAGAAGGAAGTTTTTGTTTAATGATAAAACCCAGTTCTATAAATGTAACTGTATGTGCAAGTCTGTGCAGTCACATTGGATGGAAGCTTGGTAATTAAATTATCCAAGGGGGTCAGGTCTAGTGGCTACTACCACCACTATGCTTCTGTCCCCAGAAGCCTTTACAGCTATTCTGAGGGGAAAATGGGCCCTTTTCCCACAGAAATGGTCTATAAGGGACTGCTGCAGGCAGCAGGCGGAGAGAGAATCTGATCAAAATTATTTGACTTTTGGGAAATGTAATCAAAATCACTAAAGGATGGAAGGGGTTTCTATTGGAACTTAACTTGGCTGCCCCTGGTTGTGTCTAGTTGCACAAGATGGAAGTTTCAGAGGAACAGCCATGTTAGTCTGTATTCGCAAAAAGAAAAGGAGTGTAATTGGGGTACAGTTGTGTAAAAAAGAGTAATCACAGTGCAAGAAATGTTAGGCAAAAGAGAATTTTGTGTGGTAAAAGGAAAAGGGGAGGAATGATGGGAACACTGAGCCTTGGGGTGGCTCTGGGGGATCAGATTGTTGCTTTGGTGGGTGTGCATGAAAACTCTGTGGGCATGGGGGAGGCAGTTACACCTTGTGTAAAATTAATATGGCTAATATAATGTTATGGAGGTTAAACTATACGGAAGGAATGTGCATTTTCCCAGGACGTGTGCAGTGTATATTGGAGAAGGGGTAAAAGAAATACAAATAAAACATGGTACTTAATTAAAATCCTATTAGGGCTCCAAAAGGGACCATAATAGGTTGTGCTTTCTTTTTCAGATCTGTGTGTGTTTTGGAGCAGGAGATGAAAGTGGAAAGCAATCAGAACTCTGGTGGAAGTAAAATGTTTCCCTTTTAATACAGTGTCTGAGCTGCTAACAGCTTTGGATCCAGAAGCAAGCTAGTAAGCCTCTGTGTAAATGCAAATTACCTAGCTGAGGGGCCAAAAGGAGCGGCAAATAATGAATACATCTGATCAGCAAACAAGCTACTAGAAGACTCAGATTATGGCCCTCCAGGAAAGGGAGGTGAAAAAAGTCAAGCCTGAAAATAAGGGGGACAGGTTAACTTTAAGGGGTGTGTGTGTACAGTGCTAAAATCTGAAGCTGTGTCTCCACTATTACCTGAGAATAAACTTAAAGCTTGGTACAGCAGAGAAACTATTGCAAACTTGGTCTATTGTACAAGAGGGGAAACTGAGGTACACCACCTCATGAATTTCATAAATGACCAGTGAGTGGGGTAATTCACTAGCCTGACTATAGAACAAAATAAGGACAGCCTGGAGGTAATTCTTCTGTTTTTCCTGCAATTAGCAAGGAAATTTTGTAAAAGAAAGTGGTATTATTATTAAGCAATAGTCTGTCCCCACCATGGGGGTGGAAATTGTTTCTTTTGTTTTTCAGACACTCTACAAGCAAGCTGGCGCCAGCGGGAAAAATAACCCAGAATACCATGGATCTGTGTTTTGTGTTTGTCTGTGGTGTTTGTCTTGTTGCTAGCATTGTTGTGTTTTAATGAACAGAAAACCTCATGACATGGGTGGGGGATAGCTTCAAAAGGCTGACCTGGGGGGAAGATGTGTATGGGAATGCAAAATGCTCCCCTAGAAGGCCAGCTACTGTGGTACCTGGAAATGGAATGGCAGCTAAGGTGGCCCCCACAAGCCCTATGGAAATAATGAGAAGGGCAGGAGCTCACTGGGAATCAATGGAGGGGTGTGTAAAATAGTGTAAATCAGCAGAAGATGTTTGGATGTGCCCCTCTCCTATGACTATAGAGGAGCAGGATCAATGGCCTATGCAAGGGGTATACAATTGGGTGTACTGTGTATAAGGTGTTTTGCTGGGAATGTACATATTACTGGGGGCACAATTACACCAGGCCATAACCAAACTACACCCATCTACATGCTGCTATATGGACTTTGGTGCACAAATGGATTTGTGAATCTTATTGCTGTAAATAAGCCAGGGCCTATACCAAGTGGTCAAGCTGGTTTGGACAATATCCCATTTCTCTGTGAACATTCAGTGGACTTATGATATGGACAAAAGCAAGCAAAACCTGCAGGGGCAGCTTGTTGCAACTGCCAGCAACTGGACACATAAGATCGTGACCCCGTTGAAGGAGGAAAGGCAGTGTTTTGGGGGTGTCTCAGATGTTGGACCATACTGCGGTGGTCAGGACTCGGTGTTGCTGTGGATTTTGTATTGTTAACTGTACTTGTGTTACGTTGCATAGGGAGATAACCTATAAGTAATGTAATAAGCCCTCCAAACCCTGCAGTGTACTAGACAACCCAGACCCAACCTTCTCGGGCCCACTATAATGGGAAGTCTGGAACACTAATTGGAATAGGCGTGGTATGCCCGTACGAGAGAAGGTGCAGGGCACTATACTACACAAGGGGCAGTGGGACAAATGGAATATCGACCCTTCCACCTTGATGCCTGGCCCTATCAGGAAATGTGTCGCCATATGTCCTATGCTTTTCCAGGGATACCTGAGCAGGAGGATCCCAAAAGAAGAAAAGGGGTGGAGTGTTAGGATATAGATATTCAGGTCTGTCTGTAAAGGCCTATACTCTAAGAATTTAGGTGTATTCTTATCACTTGGCTAGTTATAGAGGTACAAAAGAGAATCAAAATCACTGTCTGCCGGTGTAAGGGCCTTCTCTTACTGTAACAGTTTGAGGCCCTATGCTTAGGCTAAGGCCTTTGGCTAAGCAGCAGAGGCAGCCATAAGCTGGGAAGCGAACGGGTCACATCCTCACATTCCAAACTAGTCACATTGAAATAAGGTGCTATTGGGCTGTTAGGAATACAATCCTGTCCTATCACCTCCAGAGAAAGGAAAGTGCCTAGAAAATGTAAAAGGAAACTTAGTTTGATAGCATCCTGTCTGGCAAGAACTCACTTATCAATAGCTGGGAGGTGCCCGTTCCTGCTGGGCTGTTTGCCTGTACTTGAACAGAAATGTTCCCCGCTGTTAGCCAGGGGGAGGAGGGAGGGATGAGGGGCTAGCCACGTGGTGGGGGGAGGCAAAATGCGACCTTGGAACGAAAGCACATGTGCTATGTATGTAATGTTAACAGCAAGGTTTACCGTGAAAGAGTATACCCATTGTTTTATAAAATGTGTCTTTTTAAATACCACTGTCCCTTTTTTTTTCTCCACCAGCTGCATGTATTTCAAGGAGCACAGAATCTTCTGCTTCCCAGAGGCTAGTGAAGATCAGAAGGCGAAAAAAACGCACTCACGATGAAATGTTCTCTGAGCTTATGCTGTCCTCCCACACAGACAGAGCACAGACGAATGCGTGGAGGCAGACAATGTCAGAGTGCAGGAAAGCACAAAATGAGCAGGAGGAGAGGTGGTGGGCTGAAGAGAGGGCTGAAGCTGAAAGGTGGCGGCAGCGTGATGAGAGGAGGTAGGATTCAATGCTGAGGCTGCTGGAGGATCAAACTAATATGCTCCAGCATATGGTTGAGCTGCAGGAAAGGCAGCAGGAGCACAGACAGTAGCTACAGCCCCTGTGTAACCAACTGCCCTCCTCCCAAAGTTCCATAGCCTCCTCACCCAGACGCTCAAGAACGTGGTGGGGGGGCCTCCAGCCACCCAGCCACTCCACCCCAGAGGATTACCCAAGCAACAGAAGGCTGGCATTCAATAAGTTTTAAAGTTTTAAACTTTTAAAGTGCTGTGTGGCCTTGTCCTTCCCTCCACCACCACCCCCCATCCTGCTGCTTCTCTCCTCCATCACCCCTCCTGGGCTACCTTGCTAGTTATCCCCCTGTTTGTGTGATGAATTAATAAAGAATGCATGAATGTGAAGCAACAATGACTTTACTGCCTCTGCAAGTGGTGATCGAAGGGAGGAGGGGAGGGTGGTTAGCTTACAGGGAAGTAGAGTGAACCAAGGGTCGGGAGGTTTCATCAAGGAGAAATAAACAGAACTTTCACACCGTAGCCTGGCCAGTCAAGAAACTGGTTGTCAAAGCTTCTCTGATGCCCACCGCTCCCTCTTGTGCTCTTCTAACCGCCCTGGTGTCTGGCTGCACGTAACCAGCGGCCAGGCAAGTTGCCTCAACCTCCCACCCTGCCATAAATATCTCCCCCTTACTCTCACAGATATTGTGGAGTGCACAGCAAGCAGTAATAACAGTGGCAATATTGGTTTCGCTGAGGTCTAACCGAGTCAGTAAACTGCACCAGTGCACTTTTAAACGTCCAAATGCACATTCTACTACCATTCTGCACTTGTTCAGCCTGTAGTTGAACAGCTCCTGACTACTGTCCAGGGTGCCTGTGTATGGCTTCATGAGCCATGGCATTAAGGGGTAGGCTGGGTCCCCAAGGATAACTATAGGCATTTCAACATCCCCAACGGTTATTTTCTGCTCTGGGAATAAAGTCCCTTCCTGCAGCTTTTGAAACAGACCAGAGTTCCTGAAGATGCGAGCGTCATGTACCTTTCCCAGCTATCCCATGTTGATGTTGGTGAAACGTCCCTTGTGATCCACCAGTGCTTGCAGCACTATTGAAAAGTACCCCTTGCGGTTTATGTGCTCGCCGGCTTGGTGCTCCGGTGCCAAGATAGGGATATGGGTTCCGTCTATGGCCCCACCACATTTAGGGAATCCCATTGCAGCAAAGCCATCCACTATGACCTGCACATTTCCCAGGGTCACTACCCTTGATATCAGCAGATCTTTCATTGCGTTGGCTACTTGCATCACAGCAACCCCCACAGTAGATTTTCCCACTCCAAATTGATTCCCGACTGACCGGTAGCTGTCTGGCGTTACAAGCTTCCAGAGGGCTATCGCCACTTGCTTGTGAACTGTGGGGGCAGCTCTCATCTTGGTATTCTTGTGCCTCAGAGAATCATAGAATCATAGAATATCAGGGTTGGAAGGGACCTCAGGAGGTCATCTAGTCCAACCCCCTGCTCAAAAGCAGGACCCATACCCAATTAAATCATCCCAGCCAGGGCTTTGTCAAGCCTGACCTTAAAAACTTCTAAGGAAGGAGATTCCACCACCTCCCTAGGCAACGCATTCCAGTGTTTCACCACCCTCCTAGTGAAAAAGTTTTTCCTAATATCCAACCTAAACCTCCCCCACTGCAACTTGAGACCATTACTCCTTGTCCTGTCCTCTTCCACCACTGAGAATAGTCTAGAACCATCCTCTCTGGAACTACCTCTGAGGTAGTTGAAAGCAGCTATCAAATCCCCCCTCATTCTTCTCTTCTGCAGACTAAACAATCCCAGCTCCCTCAGCCTCTCCTCATAACTCATGTGTTCCAGACCCCTAATCATTTTTGTTGCCCTTCGCTGGCCTCTTTCCAATTTATCCACATCCTTCTTGTAGTGTGGGGCCCAAAACTGGACACAGTACTCCAGATGAGGCCTCACCAATGTCGAATAGAGGGGGACGATCACGTCCCTCGATCTGCTCGCTATGCCCCTACTTATACATCCCAAAATGCCATTGGCCTTCTTGGCAACAAGGGCACACTCTTGACTCATATCCAGCTTCTCGTCCACTGTCACCCCTAGGTCCTTTTCCGCAGAACTGCTGCCTAGCCATTCGGTCCCTAGTCTGTAGCTGTGCATTGGGTTCTTCCGTCCTAAGTGCAGGACTCTGCACTTATCCTTATTGAACCTCATCAGATTTCTTTTGGCCCAATCCTCCAATTTGTCTAGGTCCCTCTGTATCCTATCCCTGCCCTCCAGCGTATCTACCACTCCTCCCAGTTTAGTATCATGCGCAAATTTGCTGAGAGTGCAATCCACACCATCCTCCAGATCATTTATGAAGATATTGAACAAAACCGACCCCTGGGGCACTCCACTTGACACCGGCTGCCAACTAGACATGGAGCCATTGATCACTACCCGTTGAGCCCGACAATCTAGCCAACTTTCTACCCACCTTATAGTGCATTCATCCAGCCCATACTTCCTTAACTTGCTGACAAGAATACTGTGGGAGACCGTGTCAAAAGCTTTGCTAAAGTCAAGATACAATACATCCACTGCTTTCCCTTCATCCACAGAACCAGTAATCTCATCATAGAAGGCGATTAGATTAGTCAGGCATGACCTTCCCTTGGTGAATCCATGCTGACTGTTCCTGATCACTTTCCTCTCATGTAAGTGCTTCAGGATTGATTCTTTGAGGACCTGCTCCATGATTTTTCCGGGGACTGAGGTGAGGCTGACTGGCCTGTAGTTCCCAGGAGCCTCCTTCTTCCCTTTTTTAAAGATTGGCACTACATTAGCCTTTTTCCAGTCATCCGGGACTTCTCCCGTTCACCACAAGTTTTCAAAAATAATGGCCAATGGCTCTGCAATCACAGCCGCCAGTTCCTTTAGCACTCTCGGAAGGGGAAAGGAAGTCACAAATTTCCATGGAAGTGCCCTTACGAATGCAAAAGTTTCACAGCCACTGGAAATCGTCCCAGACCTGCAACACTATGCGGTCCCACCAGTCTGTGCTTGTTTCCCGAGCCCAGAATCGGCGTTCCACCGCATGAACCTGCCCCATTAGCACCATGATGCCCACATTGCCAGGGTCCGTGCTTTGAGAGAAGTCTGTGTCCATGTCCTCATCACTCTCGTCACCGCGCTGACATCGCCTGCTCGCCCGGTTTTGCTTTGCCAGGTTCTGGTTGTGCATATACTGCTGGATAACGCGTGTGGTGTTTAATGTGCTCCTAATTGCCAAAGTGATCTGAGCGGGCTCCATGCTTGCCGTGGTATGGCGTCTGCACAGAAAAAAGGCGCGGAACAATTGTCTGCCGTTGCTCTGACAGAGGGAGGGGCGACTGATATCATGGCTTACAGGGAATTAAAATCAACAAAGGGGGTGGCTTTGCGAGAAACAGAATGGCCCCCTGAAGGATAGAACTCAAAACCTCAAGGATAGAACTCAAAACTGTGTTTAGCAGGCCATTGATTTCACGGAGGGAGGGAGGGAGGAGAAAATGAATACAAAACAAATCTGGTCTATTTCTTGTTTTGATCCACTTCATCTATCTTTATACATCTTACTGGCAGCAGACTGTGCAGTACAACTGCTAGCCATCGTCATCTCCTGGGTGCTCAGCAGAAGACGGTGCAGTATGACTGCTGGCCATCATCTTCTGCTGGCTGCAGACTAAAAGACAGTGCACTGCTGGTAGGACTGAATCGCCACGAAACGAAACTTAAAAGGGAAATGACTTGGCTGAATCACTCCCATGTTTGCCCAGGAGCCCTTGACCTCATTGAGGTCGGTTAAAAGAGTACCCTAAACTACATCGACGATGGCTACCAGTCATACTGCACTGTCTGCTGCAAAAAGGCAATAAACTGTTGCTGTGTAGCAATGCAGTACCACGTCTGCCAGCACCCAGGAGACATACAGTGACGGTTAGCTAAGCGGGCTCCATGCTTACCATGGTATGGCGTCTGCACAGGTAACTCAAGAAAAAAGGTGCAAAACGATTGTCTGCCCTTGCTTTCACGGAAGGAGGGAGGGAAAGGGGGCCTGACGATATGTACCCAGAACTACCCGTGACAATGCTTTAGCCCCAGAATTCTACCCAGAATTCAAATGGGCAGCGGAGACTGTGGGAACTGTGGGATAGCTACTCATAGTGCAATGCTCTGGAAGTCGATGGTTGCCTCGGCACTGTGGACACAGTCCACCGACTACATGCACTTAGAGCATTTGTGTGGGGACACACACAATCGACTGTATAAAAACGCTTTCTACAAAACAGACTTCTATAAATTCAACCTAATTTCATAGTGTAGACATACCTTAAGGTGCCACAAGTACTCCTGTTCTTTTTGTGGATACAGACTAACATGGCTTGTACTCTGAAACTAATCTAGTCCAGGGGTTCTCAAACTGTGGGTCAGGACCACAAAGTGGGTTGCGACCCTGTTTTAATGGGGTCACTAGGGCTGGTGTTAGACTTGCTGGGGCCTGGGGCTGAAGCCCGAGCCCTACCACCTGGGGCCGAAGCCAAGCTAAGGGCTTCAGCCCTGGGCTGCAGGGCTCAGGTTCTGGCGGAAGCCCTGGGATTCGGCTTGTCTCCCCCAGCCTCTGCATGGGGTGGTGAGGCTTGAGCTTGAGGCTCCCCACCCAGGGTGGCGGTGCTCAGGCGTGCTGAGGCTTTGGTCCTGCCTCCTGGGGTCATGTCGTAATTTTTGTTGTCAGAAAGAGGTTGCAGTGCAATGAAGTTTGAGAACCGCTGATCTAGTCTGACCTCCTGTAGATTGCAGACCACAGAACCTAACCCACCCACTCCTGTAATAGACCCCTAACCTCTGGCTG